GTGTCACATTGAACACAAACATACACATGCACCAACTATACAATGCATGCATGGAATTGCACTTAGAAAATAATATCTCGGGTTGAGAGAAAGAGAGAAGTAATATTGTAATTTAGAGAGTGCGAGATAGGGGACAGTTGTGAGATTAGCTTTGCTTAATAGGACATAATGTTGGGCAGTTAAGGGATAATATACCCATAACATGAGTATAGCTGATTGAGATGGATGAGTGGCAAGACAAGAAAGGATAGTATTCGAAATGAATATATTCGAGAGAATTTAGGTCTAGCATTAATCGGCGATGAGATAAAGAAAATTTATATAGGCTGATAATGTGTTGTGCAAACCCAGTACATCATATATTGCGATGTGCGAGTTAGTTCAAGTAGAATGCTAAAAAAAGATGAGGGATATACTTAAAATGACAGGGTTGAAAGTGTGTGTAAATATGAAGAATTATGGTCTTATTGAGGGTATGATATTTAAGAGAGCAGAATGACAGATCGTGCAATTGATCTCAATTAATTGGATAAAGACTATGATGATGAGAGAGTGAATCAATTCAATTGAGAGAGAGTCAAAATGAATCAATTCAAATGCCGATATTTTCCAAAAAAAGGACAATGACCTGAGATTTTCCAAGAAAAGAACAAATGGTAATTGCGGACATAAGCCAGTGCATAGGAATTCATAGCTGCCGTCGTAAGTTATTTCCCAAAATTTTTCCATCAATGTTATGCCAAACAACGGTGATAAGGAAAACACAAAATCACGTCTGTTGATATAAGGAATTTCGGGAAATTTCCAGAGAACAAGGATATCTCTAATTACCACCCCCTAAATCGGTCTTCAGATCTTCACTATTTGAAAATGCACGCACCTTTTGCAAATATCATCTGGCATTTTGCTAGGCATTAAAAGGCGGTATACTCCAAAAACGTGAGGAGAGAAACTTGAAATGATTGAACAATGTTCTCATATGCTGATTACGCTATTTGGGTCAAACTGCTCGTAAGTTCATATCACATAACCAATGTTCAAGAAGTCAGATGCTCCCGCCTAGGCACCAAGGCGGTAACCTAGATACCTGAGCGGACCTAAGGGAAATATCATCCTCTTTTTTTGTTTCTTTTCTTTTTTGGGATCAGTATTTGTGAGAGAGAGAGACCTCGCATCGAATATTTGGATGTCTTTTTCTATTTTTACTTCTTCTTAAATGTAAAGATAGAGCATATGGGTCCATGTGTATCTTTGTGCATGTATGTGTTTTTATGAGAGAGAGAAGGCGCTCATTGAACACAGAGTTCTTCTTCTCGTATATAGACAGAGCACATGGATGAGAAAGAGGGAGGACCTACCAAGCTTTATTTTGTTTTGATGGTTTGAAATTTTTGTTTTTTAAAAAGATGGTACTAGGCGCTTGCCTTGACCACGATCCTTACCCAGACACCACGGTTTGTCCGCCAAGATGCGTGGAGAAAGGCGGTCGAATTTCTATTCATGGTTCACTGTTAAGGGTATGAGTCATCTTTTCTTCAGTTTTTAGATTTCGGTATTTCCACTGTGTTTATCTTGAAACTGTTTGAGAGGCCTTTGAGCCCAAGGACTTACGGATAATTTCGAAAATGTCATGTCATGTGATGTTCTTCTTTCCCGTCGTTGAGCATGTTTTCTGCTTGCTTTTATATCAGTTGGGTTTTATAGCACTACGTCTCAAGTTCCATTCTTATATAACTTTAGCATGTTTCCGCATGCTCTTACATTCGTTGGGTTTTTATAGCACGTTTCAAGTTCCATTCCAATATAGCCTTGAGAAAAAAAAAAAGAATTAATTTCAAGTTCCACTCCTATATAACTGTGTGAAAAAAAAGAAAGAAAACCCAATGATACAATGAAAGCGTGGTAGGTACATAACCCACAGATCCTATGATCGAAACCTGACTTTAACATATGAAAAGTTCTTTCACAATTTGATCCTATGATCGAAACCAGGTTCTGATGTATGAAAGATGTATGAAAAGTTCTTTCACAATTTTTCCATGCTATGGAACGAGTCAGTTTGGTTATTCAGATGGAATGTTGTCCTCCTTAGATTGAAAGTGATTCCTCACTTTTTGTATGTTAATTACCATTATAGACTCAAACTTTTCATAGTTGATTGAAAGTGATTCCTCACTTTTTATATGTTAATTGCCATTATAGACTCAAACTTTTCATAGTTGAATTGTGATATTTAGTATGAGGCTAATATGATGACCTGTTAACTGTTCATATTCGATTTTTGTCACATTTAGCATGAGGCTAATATAGTGGTTGTCGTACTTGCTAAGAAGGCTTCAACGTTTTCATATCAACCATTCAACCATTCAATGTTCTAAGCCTCGCACAATTACTTTATTGTAAGGTTGTAAAATACTGAAATATAATTTCTTTTTTTCTATTAATAAAAAAAGGGTAGCGGCCTTCTCCCCGCTCCCCGACTGATTTTCCCTAAAAATATATATATTTTCATCAATGCTTTTTTAAAGATTCACATGAGTTTCAAACTCACATGTTAACAATAGAGAGGTTCTTTCCTCTCTCATCAAATAATGAGTTTCCTTTCCATCATCTTTTATGTGGCTAGTGTGGCCACCCAAGTTTTTCGGCAACCACTTGGCAGTTCTGTTTTTTCACTCAAACAAGGGTGACAATACTAATAATCTACATAAATTTTGGTTTAAAATTGTTTTGAATGGATTATGAAAACACAAGCCCCGCAATTAGCTATGCTTATAATTCAATCCAATCCAATCCAAAAAATTTGATTTGCACTTCTGAATGTTGGAAATGGATCACCATGTGGATAAATATATATGGAAAAAGTTTATATAAGGTGTCAACTTTCTATTATACGAGTAAAGTACACCTAAAAAAAAGATACAAACATTTATGGATTCAGGCCATACTCAAACTATTTCTTAGTCAGTCCTCCAGACCTGGCACTAGGGCTTCCACCAGGGCCAGGCGCGGCAAAAGCTCAAAAAATCAGCCCGGCCAAGGAAGACCTGGCCCAAAATTATGACTCTTCTCATTTCTCCGTCCTCTGTCTGCCATCTCTCTCTCACCACATTCTCTCCTTGTTTCTCCTCTATCTACCATCTCTCTCTCTCTCTTATGGTCTTACATGTTGGGCAGACCATTACATGGAATAGTGGGGCCAAGCAAATGCGTATGGAAGAGATGGGAGTAAGAAATGGCAGATGGAAGAGAGAGAGACCCACTTCTCTTGTTTCCACAAAGAGAGTGAGAGAAGAGAGACCCACTCCACAAAGAGAGAGAGAGAGAGAGAGAGAGGA